CCCTGCCAGGGAACAATTCCCAATTCCCAATCTCCCATCCATCCCTGCCCTCTGGCAGTGGGAGCCACTCCCTGGGTCCTGTCCCTCCCTCCCTTTATCACAAGCCTCTCCAGGTTCCCCAGCTGACAGCAGGGAGACCCCACAGGGAGCATTCCACACAGAATTTGGTTTAAAACCCACCAGAGCTGGGTAAAAAAAAAAAAATAAAAAAAAATCACTGTGTTCCCCCCATACACCAACAAGCACTATGCTGCAAGTGAAAGCAGAAATTCTCATGAGATTTTGTGACCCCAGACGTTGTGGCTTCAGCTTTCAGACCTTTATCTTGCAGCACTTTCTTTATCAGGAGCGACTTCCTGCAGCATCATTCATAAAACAGGGTAATAAACTGCCTGTAGAAGTTTCACAGCAGCTCCCAAGCCAGGCTGACACTCAGGACCACTTCCTGCCAAGGGTGTGCTCCTGTTCTCAGACAAACACCCAGAAAAAGGGTTGAACATTTAATTTCAGCAGGTTTCCAGTGCTGCCTCAGTCCTGAGCTGCTGCCAAAGCACTGCAAACGTTTTGGTTTGTGCTTTGCGCTTTGTTTCATTATGACAAAAGTCAGGCAAAACAAATGAATTAATGTCACAGAAACATCAGGAAACTGAGAGTACAACTGCAGGCACCAGGTCTGTGGTGCTCCACAGACTGTCAGAGATGTGTGTTCTGAGTGGTTCAATTTAAATAATTCTTTATGGTGGCTTTAAGTAAAATCCAAGGTTTTCCTCCCAAGCAAAACCTGCTCATTTTGACAAATCCAGCTGAGCCATTGATCATCCTTTTTTTCCCTCCCTTGTGAAAAGTGTGGCTTTCAGTGAAAAAAAAAGAAGTTTGAATTCAGCCTCAGGGCAGGAAGGGTTTCAGTGTCCCCAGCTGTGCTGCTGGAGCAGTCAGCATCTCACAGCAAAACTGGAACTGGGTGGGAAAAATAAATCCTGGAATGACTTGGGTTGGGATGAACCTTAAATCCCATCCCACCCCTGCCATGGCAGGGTCACCTCCCCCTGTCCCAGGAGCTCCCAGCCCTGTCCAGCCTGGCCTTGGGCACTGCCAGGGATCAGGGGCAGCCACAGCTGCTCTGGGCACCTGTGCCAGGGCTGCCCACCCTGCCAGGGAGGAATTCCTTCCCAAAATCCCATGTAACCCTGCCGTGTGTCCATGTAAAGCCATTCCCCGTGCCCTCCATCCCTCATCCCCACTCCCTCCCCAGCATTCCCAGCTGGCAGCACCTTGTCCAAAGCTGGTGATTTCCCCCACAGGCTCCGAGCAGGTCGGAGGCAGGAGGGAGAATCCTGGGCTACACCGTGACCTTGGAAGCCCTGGGGCAGGGGAAGCTGCCGGCACAATCCCACCGGACCACCCAGACCAGCTTCTCCAGGGTCACCCCCAGGGCGGCCCACAGGGTGACGGTGACGGCCCAGAACCCGCGGGGCAGCTCGGTGCCCGCGGCCGTGCTGACCCACCTGGGCAGCCCAGGTAAGGCTCCTCGGGCTGGCATCCCCGCCAGCAGGGCTCTGCTCCGTGCCACACCCCTCAGGTGTTGTGGTCCCTCCACCTGCAGGGAGCTCCAGATCTGCTCGTCCCTGTGGTTCCTGCAGGTGAGCAGCCCCAGCTCTCCCAGCCGGAGGGGCTCCAGTCCTTGGGATGTCCCCTGGAATCTCGGCAGCAGCTCCACATCCTCGTGCTTCCATCGGGGCAGGGCGTTGGGGCGTGCCAGGGCCGAGCTGTGGGTGTCACACCCATGAGAAAAGCCAGGAATGTCACCGTTCCCGCCAGCAATCCCTCACCCTTCCCACCAGCACCTCCTCTTCAATTACAACTCACTTTTACCCTTCCCACGGTGCCAACGTGGAGGGGAGACCCAGCAAAGCCCAGGCACCAAAGGCCCCGGGTTTGACGGAGGCTGCCAGAACCTCGTGCTGACGGCGGCTTTTGTTCTCCCCTGCAAGATCTGCCCCCTCCCCAGCGGGTCTGTGCCGTGGGCCTGGGGAACAGCAGCATCCTGGTGAGCTGGAGCCCCCCGGCTGGAGCCGCCCTGCCCGTCGGGGGCTACGTGGTGGAGTGGGCAGAGCCCCGGAGGGAGCCTCGCCCGCAGCCCCAGCAGGGCTGGCTGAAGCTGCCCCCGTCCCGGCTGTCCACTGTCATAGCAGGTAAATGCCACCCCCCGCTGGCCACGGCACCTGCTTGGCTGGAAAATATTCTTGGCAACAAGTCAGGTGGGAATCTGAGCTCCAAGGCCAGGCTGGATGAGGCTGGGAGTAGTTTGGGATGGTGGGAAGTGGTCCTGCTGTGGCACTGGATGGGATTTAAGGTCCCTCCCAGTCTGGGATTCTATATTTCTATATATTTCTATATATCCTATATATTTTCTATCTATTTCTATATTTCTATATTTTTTATTAAAATCACTTCCAGCTTCCCTGTGGGCCTGCCCACCCTCCCAGGGAACAATTCCATCCCAATATCCCATTTATCCCTTTCCCCTGGCAGTGGGAAGCCATCAATTTTCAGTTTAAATCCCAGTAAGGCTCTGCTAGCCAGGCTCAGTAGATCAGAGCAAATTTCTTTCCCTTCTTTATGAAAGATCTATCAATAATCAAGAGATTTATCTCAGATTTAAGCAGCTGCTGCAATATTTCTGCCCTGGCTGCAAATCCTTGAACAGGCAACTCTGCAGCTGTGATTTCTCCCTCCAGAGCACATCAGAGATAACGTCTGCTACCAGATCCACGTGTCTGCACTTTATCAGGGCAGAGCTGGGCAGGCAGCTTCAGTCAGGGGAAACTCCACGGCACAAGGTAAACCCCAGGAATGTTGCCCAGGTGTCTGAAAGGCGTTTTAAGCTCAGCTCTAACAGCAGCCCCGTGTCTTGCAGCCCCATCAGCTGGGCCCCAGATGTTCGCAACCCCCTGGGCCAGCGGCGTCCTGGTTTCCTGGGAGGAGATCCCAGCCCCCCAGCAGAGGGGCTGCATCACTGGCTACCACATCTACCTGCACAGGAGGGATGGGCAGGGCCAGCCCGAGGTCCATGGTGGGTGCCTGGGGCTGGAAACGCTTCCCCTGCTCCCCTGACATTGCTGAAGCTCTCCAGTGGCAGCACTCTAAGTCACTTCCAGTCAGAAACCATCAGATTTATCCCTGCTTCTTCTCCCTCCTCCTCTTCTTCCTCCTCTTCTTCTTCCTCTTCATATTTTTCGTCTTTATCTTCCTCATCTTCTCATCTTCTTATTTTTCTTCCTCCTCCTTCTCCTATTCCTCTTCTTATTCTTCTTTCTTCTTCTTCCTATTCCTCCTTGTATTCATCTTACTCTTTTTTCTCTTATTCTTCTTCCTTTTCCTTATTCCTCCTCCTCTTCTTCCTATTCCTCCTCTTATTTTTCTTCCTTTTTTTGCTCTTACTCGTCTTCCTTTCCTTTTCCTTAATCCTCTTTCTCTTCTTTTTCCTCCTCCTTTTTCCTTATTCTTCTCCCTTTTCTTTTTCCTTATTCTTCTCCCTTTTCTTTTTCCTTACTCCTCCTCCTCTCCTTTTTTCTCTTATTCTTCCTTTTCTTTTTCTCTATTCCTCTTCTTCTTGTTCCTCCTCTTGTCTTCCTTTTTTTGCTCTCACTCATCTTCCTTTCCTTTTCCTTAAATCTCTTTGTCTGCTTCTTCTTCCTCCTCCTTTTTCCTCTTATTCTTCTCCCTTTTCTCTTTCCTCATTCCTC